ATAAAAATATGAGAACGAATTTTTTTTTTTTTTTTTTTATAGTTGTTATGATATGGTTGATTGTTTATTTTGGTTTGTTCGGTTGGAAATTTGAATAGTATCTCAAAAAAAAAAAAAAAAACAATATAACACTATGTATTAAGTATCTAAAATATAACACTATGTATTTATCTAATCACCTGACATTTAACATAGTTCTATGATTTTATATAAGATTAGATAAATCATAACTAATCTAAAATAAAATTTACTGCACTTCACATATTTATTCACCTCAATACAAGGCTTTATGCAGCCTGAACACATTTCTTTCTTCGCCTCGTTTCACATATCTAACTGGTTGTGCGACATAAACTTATTCGTCTAAGGGGTCATTCAGGAATGAACACTTCACGTTTATCTGACATGTGTTCCAATTGTTCATATTTGCTAGACCAACAACCAACCTGATTGTTTCGATCCTAGCAACATGTGTAAACACTTCGCCGAAGTCTATTCCTTTTTTCTAAAGAAATCCTTTCGCTATAAGTCTCACCTTGTTTCGAGTTACTTCTCCTGTAGGATTCACCTTCACTTTGTAAAGCCACTTGAGATCAATTTCCTTCTTGCCTTGAGGCAACTCGACAAGTGATCAGGTGTTGTTGACTTCGATGAATTGTAACTCCTCATTCATTGCTTTCACCCACTTTAAATATTTCAATGCCTCAGCTGCATTGACTGGTTTGACATCTACGTAGAAAGCATAATGTAACAGCTCACCCTCTTCATCGACCACATTCTTACAACCTTGCAGACATGTGTCTTTTTCGTCGAGGTCTTCTTGGGCCTACTTCACCTCTGACTTCTTCTTGTCGAACTTTTCTTTCGAATTCACTTGATATTTCTTCACATAAGATTCTCACTGAATCCTTCTTAACATTCTCATTCCAATCCCATTTCTTAAGCTCGTCCATGATCACTACCTGCCTATTCACTGGGTCGAACAACTTATAACCTCTAGTCGAATGATATCCTATTAAGATCATCTTATTCGACTTGTCATCAAGCTTCCTTCTCAACTGATCTGGCACATATTTGTGTGCTATAGATCCCAACACTTTCAAGTGACTGAGACTAGGCTTAACACCAGACCAACATTCTTCTGGTGTGATTCCTTCAAGCTTCTTCGTCGGACATCTGTTTAATATGTATGTTTTGTCGAAACCGCTTCTCCCAGCAATTCTTTGGGTCAATGTTTTCCATTCAACATACTTATCACCATGTTCATGATGGTTATGTTCTTTCTTTTTGCAATTGCATTTTGTTATGGAGTGTAGGGTGACACCACCTCATGCATAATCCCTTCTTTTTCACATAATGCATCAAACTCTTTCGACACATACTCTCCACCACCACCAGTCCTCAGAATTTTCAGCTTTCGACCACTCTGTCTTTTGACCATAGATTTGAATTTGGCAAATACCTCGATCACATCACTTATCTTCTTGATGAGGTAAGTCCACAACTTTCGACTGTAATCATCTATGAATGTGACAAAGTATTTGTTGCCTACAATTGAATCCACTTGGGATGGACCATATACATCAGAGTATATGACTTTCAGAATTGTCTTTGACTTTCTTCTTGCATCCTTGTTGAAGCTATTCTTGTGTTGTTTTGACTGAACACACTCTTCACAGAATTCACTTGGAATGTCGATTTCAGGTAATTCTGAAGCCATATTTCTTCTCTTTAGCTCTCTGATGTCATTGAAGTTGAGATAACCTAGTCAAAAATGCCATAACCACTCATCTCTACTGGCTGCAATTGCTAGGAATTTATGCTCCATCATATTGAGTTCAATCTTGAAGGTCCTATTCTGAGACATTGGAGCCTTCAAGATCAACCTACCACCTGTGTCGAGAACTCTCATCATCTTGTCTTGACTGAAACCTTGTAGTTCTTTTCTACCAGCTGCCATATACTGCACAAATTACTCTTCATGCCTAGTATGTACAACACATTGGAAATTGTTGACCTTTTGTCATCTTTCCTCGTGATCAGCACATCACCAATACCTTCAGCTGCTAGAGTATTGTCATTTGCAAACTTCACTGTGTTCTTCGACGAGAGCTTCATGTTGACAAACCAATATTTCCTTCCAGTCATATGTGATGGGCATCCTGAGTCCAAGTACTACTGGTCATGGAATCTCTCTTCGTCTCTTGTTGTGACCATCAACAACATCTCTTCTTCTTCATGTTTCGCCATCTTTGCATCAGTTTCTTGATTCTTCTTCTTTTTTGGACAATCACTAAAATAATAACCATACTTTTGACAATTGAAACACTGAATGTGACTTTTGTCAGGATTTCGACCACCACCTCTTCCTCTACCTGCAGCACCACCTCTTTGGTTGCCTTGGTTCCAGGGTTTTCTCTGATTCGACCAATTTCTTTCATGCTGATTTCGACCAGTCGAATTGGTGTAGCCTCTTCTACCTTTGTTGTCATTCCAACTTCCTTTCTCTTTTCTTTCTTTTTCTGACTGCGCCCGCAAAGTCATGTCACTCTTCGACTTTCCTGCAACTCTTTCAGCCATCCTTTTCTCATGAGACTCAAACGTCCCTTGAAGCTCTTCCTTTGTCAACACTGACAATTCTTTCGACTCCTTTATGGCGACTACCACGTGGTCGAATTTTGGAGCCAATGACCTCAAGATCTTTGACACTACTGATCTTGATGTCAACTCTTGTCCACATACATTGATTTGATTTACCAGCTTTGTAACTCTGGTGAAGAAATCTGTTATACTTTCATTGTCTTCCATCTGAAACAATTCATAAATCCTTTTGTGAGTTTGTAACCTCACCTCTTTCACCTTCTCTGTGCCTCTATACGATTTTTTAAGAATCTCCTAAGCTTCTTTTGTTAATTCTACATCACTAACATTTTCAAAGTTATCTGGATCAACACATTGATGGATTATAAAAAGAGCTTTATAATCTTTCTTCTTCAATTCTTTATATGCTACTTTCTACTGATCTATCGTAGTTTCTGCAAGCGGTGATAATCCATCCTTCACAAGATCCTAAAGATCTCGGTAACAGAAAACCACCTTAATCAGCTTGCACCAAGTCTCATAATTATCTTTCTTGAGAATTAAAAGATTTGCTGGAAAGTGGCCGTTCGGGTGATTCATCGCCATCACAATTGTTCTTCCCTTGAATCAAAATCGGAGCTCTAGATACCAAATGTTGCAATTCAAGCACGATCTATGGTGAATTCTTCTCAATCTTGATCTTAAGATTGTTATGTAATGACAATGAACAAAAAATAAGAACATGTTTAAAGAAGATGAATATAAACTGCAGAGTAACTCTCTGCCTACAACTGTGAAATTTTATTATCATTTTGCAACCGTAAAACCGTGATTATCAAACTTGATTATTATAATGAAAAGGGTTCCTCCTTATTTATAAATTTAGGTTAACTTGTATCTCAAGTTAAAATCCAAAAAATATATAATCTAATATTTCTAAATGAAATCTGATCTTTCTAATAAAATCTAATCTTTCTAAAACAATGAATTACATATTCAATAGTTTTTACTTTTTTTAAAAATTATTTTTATAGTGTAACATAATTTTGTGGAAACAAAATTTTCAAATTTTTTTTTTCATAAAAGTTTCAAATGAAAATTTGGTTTGAATAATTATTTTTAAAATGTGATTTTAGATATATCAACATTTTATTAAAAAAAAATTGGATATCAAAATTTCAAAAAATCATTTAATTTTGAAATCATTTCAAATAACTTTTTATAAAAATTATTTTTGAGATATAACTTTTTTCAAAAATTGTGATTTCAATTATATTTTGATCTTTAATAATATATGGTTATGTTGTATGATATCAGAACTAACCTTATAATTTAGAAAAAACTAATATATAAAAATTTGTAATATTAAAAAAATGGTTTTACAAAATATATTTTTAAAAATACAAAAAAAAATTTTTTTTTAAAGCTAAAACAAACTGCATTTAACATTTATACATAAACTGATTTTTTTATGGTTGTCCAAGTTCTCCCTAACTCTTCTTTAGTTCCAAGCAATTAAGGGAAGTCTTGGGATAAATGTTCAAAAATATCGATTAACATGAACTTTCTTAATATATATATATATAAAAGAGAACTATTGTGCAAACTTTTTTTAATTTAGATCTCACAACTAATTTTTTTTCAAACTTTAAACATTAAAATAGACTTCGTAAAGAATAAAGTTGATATGTCTTTTAATAGATTCTTCTCTTTTTAAATACGTTTTTTCTTTAATCCCAACGTTTTGTGTAACTACATATTCTTTTCAATATATTACCTTATTAAAAAAAGTTTAATTGTCCAAGTTTCAATTATTCTTTTAAACAAAAACGATTTATTTAGTGAGGAATGCATTAGTTTTCATGAAAAGTTGCATTAAAAAACAAAGTAAATATTCTCATAAAGCGAAAATTATATTTTCAAATAAAATTACAGGATAATAAGTAAAAGTTAAAATAAAAACTGAGAATTTTAGCGGGTTTTAATTTTCTCCCTCAAATCTATGTCTCTATTTCACTATAACATTTTATCTCTCTTCTTCTATTTATTATTTTTAATTTTTTTTTTAATTCTATTACATGTATTTTTAGGTAAAGGAAAGAGAAGGATGGAAGGTGAGAATCTATTGTGGAATTTTAGCCAGTTTGATACAGCAAGACTTTTAGGTGGAGATAGCTGATAAGTCGAGAACTTTCCAGAATTCGCTACCAAAACTATCATATGCCACGTAAGAGCAACAAATGCTGACAATCTCCAGAAAGTTCCAAAAACACCAACCCAATTTCATCAATCCCGTCTCTAGAACCTTCTTACTCCACCCCTTAAATTTAATCACTCCTTTCTTCTCAACCCTCTAAACTAAACTAACTGTAAATAACCACCGAGTTTCTTAAATTGAGTCTCACACACAAGCTTTCTTTATGAAGGGAATTTTAGTGAAAGAAGAAGAAACAGTAGCATATACAAATGCTGGTGCATCCCCAAGTTCATCTTCCTCTTCCAATTCAAATCTTCAACCAAAACCAATGGAAGGGTTACACGAAACAGGTCCACCTCCGTTTCTCACCAAAACCTTTGATGTCGTTGAAGATCCTTCCACCGATGGAATCGTTTCGTGGAGCAGAGCTCGTAATAGCTTCGTCGTTTGGGACCTCAATAAATTCTCAACTGCGATTTTGCCTCGTTACTTCAAACATAGCAATTTCTCTAGCTTCGTTCGTCAACTCAATACTTATGTAAGTACACTATCACTTCTTTGAAAATTATATCTGATTGATTGTTGTTAGAATTAGTTGAATTTTGTTTAAACTAGTTATAAGTTAGTTATGATTAATTGAAAATTGGTTATAAGTTAGTTATGATTAGTTTAAAATTGGTTATCATTAGTTTTGATTAGTTAGAAATTGATTACTGTTAGTTATTAGTTATGATTAGTTGACAATTGGTTATCATTAGTTATGATTAGTTGAAATTTGATTATGATTAGTTATAAGTTAGTTAAGATTAGTTGAAAATTGGTTATGATTAGTTTTAGGTTAGTTATGATTAGTTGAAAATTGTTGAGTGATTTTTGTAAATACATGCAGGGTTTTAGAAAAGTTGATCCGGATCGATGGGAATTTGCGAATGAAGGGTTTTTAGCTGGGCAGAGGAACTTGTTGAGAACAATCAAGAGAAGAAGAAATTTAGCACAGTCGCCGTCTATGCAACGAGAAAGTGGTGGTGCTTGTATTGAATTAGGAGAGTTTGGTCTTGAAGGTGAGATTCAGAGGCTGAGAAGAGACAGATCGGTTTTAGTGGCTGAAATTGTGAAATTGAGGCAGCAGCAGAATAATTCAAGGGATCAGTTATCTGCTATGGAAGCTAGGTTGTTGATTACTGAGAAGAAACATCAACAGATGATGGCTTTTCTTGCAAAAGCACTCAGTAATCAATCTTTTGTTCAGCAATTGGCGAACAGCAAAGAGTTGAAAGGTGTTGAAATGAAGCGAAAGAGGAGGCTCACTGCTAGTTCAAGTTTGGAGAATTTGCATAATGATTCCGTGACGATGATGACAGAGCCGATTGAATCTGTGGTGGATTATTCTAGTCAAGAACAACAAGAGGGTTTGTCTGCTATTGAGTCTGAGATAGAGACATTGTTAAGTGCTTATGATAATGAATCAAGGAGTGAAGTCAAAGATTATGCATCATTGAGTTCAGTTCCGAGTGCTAATGAGAGTAATTTGAGTGATTGGGAGGAATTACTGAACCAAGAGTTGGTTGGTGGGAATCCAGAGGATGAAGTTTTTATTGGTGATTCCTCACAAATTGATGCGCCGGTTGAGGATTTGGTAGAAAAGAATGATGATTGGACTGTGGATTTGCAGAACCTTGTTGATCAAATGGATTTTGAACCTTGTTGATTAAATGGATTTTGAACCTTAATCAAAATGGTTGTAGAGTTTCGATCTTTGTAGTTTTGTCATTTCACTTGCAGCTTTCTGGTATGGGATTTGTTGTTAATGTTATTGTTTTATGATTGGTGATTAATAAAAATTTCTTTGATGGTAATTGATGTAGAATATGAATGGCTTTTATGCAGCAGGGAAGATTGTAGTTGCAGAGGAGGCCAAAAGATGTGTATCCTTTATTGAACAACAGTATAAGTTGTGTGAAGTAGTTTGAAGTATTGTTTGTGCTAAAAAAGTTATAGTACCGAAGTATTTTTTATTATGTCCTTTTGTTTGTAACTACATTGTACATTTTGCAGGCACTTTACTAAAAGCAGAGCAAATATTCAAGAAGATTATGATGGAACGGGATTGTCAAATTTTCATTGTTCAGAGAGGGTGTATAACTTTTTAGTAACATTTCAGTTGTTCTTGACAATTTCAAAATAGATTGGCTAATTGTCCACCATTAAAAGTTTAAGATTCTGCATTTTTTAGAGATATACAGACAGAGTAACGTGTTGACAGGTTGGTTAATCCTGGTTTTCTTGTGACAGAATTTACCTGATGTACTTATGTGAAAATGCATTGAAGTTGATTTTATTGGCAATAAGTTTAATTTGTTTTTTTTATACTTTATTTGTTGCCTTTGTTTTTGTTTAGTTTATTTGATGTCCTTTTGAATTTTATTTTCTTTAAATTGCATCCTTTTCTCTCTTCTCTGCAGTTATTTAAATTTTTCTGATAATATTTTTAAAAGGATAGTTATTGGATTATATAGGTTTGTGGTGGATGTGTTGACGTCTCAACATAATTGATATATTAATATATACAATTTCATGAATTGGCAGTTTGATTTTAACGAATTAAACATGAGTGTTGATCTAATTACATTTTTTTTTAGATTATGGAGGGCAAAGGCCCAAGTGAGATTACATGAGAACTATTCTGGAGGAGGATTTGCCACATATTCCCTACACAAGTATCATAATACTTTCTTTGGCGTCACTCCTAGAGTTTGAGAATCTATTAATGCATTTTAAATTCTTTTACGGTGTAAATTTTTTCAAATTTTTTTTTCGTTTTTAGCGATGTGTTTTTGGACGCTCTTCTAAAAATGGTCATTTTTAGAGGCGTCCTATATGTTAGATTTTTATTTTAAAAATACATCTTTGAAATATTTTAAGAAATTTTTTAACTATTTAAGAATTTATTAGATATTTTGAAAATGTACTACATTTTAAAATTTTATGTTATATTTGCATGTCAGATATTTTTTATGCATCTCGAAAATATCTGATGTAGAATTTAGTTGCATGGTTATTCCTCCATTATTGACATGTTTGGTTTTCAACTAAACCCTTCACCCTAAAAATTCTTTAATCTTAATCTATTTTTTTTATTTCAAATCTTCATGTTTTTGATTCAACATATCATATAAATGAAGATAGAATTTCATATAAGGATTCTTCTTTTTTCTCTGCATTACTCACATTAATCATTTATTTTTTCTGAAAAGAATTACGCTGTGTTCGAAAATGTATCTCCAAAACGTGTATGAACTTGTCGAGAGGTGCATTTTTGAAAGTTGTCTGTGTTTATTTTTGAAATCATTCTACAACAGTAGTTGACCTTATGTTCTGTAATTGTTTTAATTATTTTTATTAGATATAATGTACTTCGATCTTTTTCCAAAACAAGTTATTTTTCCGAATGTCCAAAGTGTGGTTGTTTCTTCTAATGTTTAAGGTGTTGATGTAAAAGCGATAGATGTTGACAACAACTTTAAAAACAAGCAACAGTTTGAATCTCGTGATCAAATGCTTGAATGTATTTGTGTGGACACTCCTATAGAAAATTCATTTAACAACGGTTGGGAAAGATATATAATCACGCGGGCTCAGGCGTTGTTATGTAGAGTGTCGTTGTATATACGATACTTACAATCACGGTTGAGTAATCGTCGTAATAAACTGGAAAGTGTGCACCCTATCACAACGAGTTTTTCAAAAGACTGTTGTGATAAAAATATTTTTTTCTGATCAGTGCGCGAGATATTATAACGGTTATAATATTTAACCTTTGTTAAATTTTCTGCAAAATTAGCAAATATTATCCTACTTTTTTATTTAATCTCATTTTTTAACATGTATTAATGTTCATATTTAACAACAGAAAATACAACTCACATTTATGATAAAGTTATCATAATAATATTAATGTATCATATTCATAATATCACATAATTGTATCATATTCAATACACCATAACTGTTGGTGCAAGGTGAATAAAATGAAAAAGAAATATTCTATTAAGAGAATGACGGCTAAAAAAAACATGATAAAAGTTACAATGATTGTCACCCTATTTATAAGCTAAAACTAGGGTTACTAGAATAAGATAAAATACTAAAATACCCTCTAACAAACTTAGGGGATAAGAAAATAGTACAACTAAATAAATATGAATTACTATTAATATTCTAATACCATCCCTTAATTCATATTCCATCAAAACTTGTAACACCAATTCCATCCCTTAGTCTGAGAAATTGATCAGTCTTGATAGCTTTCGTCAGAACATCTGCCAACTGTTTCTGAGTGCTGCAGTGTACAACTTCTAACACTCCACTCTGAACTTGATGTCTCAGAAAATGATACTTGGTCTCAATATGCTTGCTTCTCCCATGCAACACTGAGTTTCTGGCAAGATTGATTGCAGACTTGTTGTCAATCATCAACTTCATAGGTTTGTCTACTTTAATCTTCAGATCCTGCAACAGATTCAGAATCCACACAGCTTGGCATGCAGTAACAACACCTGCAATGTATTCAGCTTCACAGGTTGACAACGCCACAACGGGTTGCTTCTTGGAACACCAAGAAATGAAACCTCCCAGAAATTTGAACAAGTACCCAGATGTACTTCTTCTGTCAACTCTGTCTCCACACCAATCAGAGTCTGAATAACTCAGAAGTTCTGACTCATTATTTCCTCCAGAGGGAAATAACACTCCATACTTCAGAGTTCCTTTGATATACCTCAGAATCCTGACAGCAGCTTGGTAATGAGACCACTTAGGTTTACTCATGAACCTACTAACCATCCCAACTGAGTAGCAAATATCAGGTCTGATATTGCACAAATACCTCAGAGAACCAACCAATTGCTTGAAGGTTGTAGCGTCCACATCCTTTCCTTCAGAGTCTGAATCCAGTTTCTGATTTGTATCAGAAGGTGTGACAGCCATCTTACAATTCTTCAGATCAAATCTCTTCAGAAGTTCTAATTCATACTTGAGCTGATGCAAAATGATACCTTTCTCAGAATATCTGAACTCCATCCCTAGAAAGTATGTCATTTTGCCTATATTAGTCATTTCAAATTCATTCATTAGAACCTTCTTGAACTTGGCTATCTCCTGTTCAGAACTTCCAGTCAGCAGTATATCATCAACATATAAACATACCAGAGTCATATTGCCTTCAGAAGTATGCTGAACATAGACACTGTACTCCATCTCATATTTCTGAAAGCTTTGCTTCTTGAAAAATGAATCAATCTTCTGATTCCAAGCTCTGGGCGCTTGTTTCAATCCATATAGAGCTTTGTATAATCTGTACACCATCCCTTCCTGATTCTTTTTCACAAATCCAGGAGGTTGTGACACGTAAACTTCTTCTTCTAATGGACCGTTCAGAAATGCATATTTTACATCTAAATGCATCAGAGGCCAATTCTTGTTAGCAGCTATTGCAATCACCATTCTGATTGTTTCATGTCTTGCTACAGGTGCAAACACTTCAGAGTAATCCAACCCAGGTTTTTGTAGAAATCCTCTGGCTACCAACCTTGCTTTATGTTTGCCAATTGAGCCATCTGGCTTTAACTTCTGCTTGAAAACCTATCTGACGCTGATGGCTTTCTTGTCTTTTGGAAGTTCTGTCAGCTTCCAAGTCTTGTTTCTCTCTATAGCATCAAGTTCTTCTTTCATGGCCTTCAGCCAGAGCTTCTGCTTAAGAGCCTCCTCTGTACTTATAGGTTCAGAGTCTACTAACATGGCACACTGAATAACTTCTCCTTCAGAGTCTACTTCAGGTCTTGCAGCATGTCAAATTCTGCAAATCTTCTGGGAACGCTTCTGATTCTTTGTGGTCTCTGAACTTGTTCAGAGTCTTGAGCTTCAGAGTTTCCAGCTTCAGATGGTTGACTTCCTCTAGAGCTTTGACCATCTTCAAGATCTGGCATATTTTCAGAGTTTTGGCCATCTTCAGAGTCTGAATTTCCACCAGAATCTGGATTACCATCAGAGTCTGGATCATCAGAGTCACCTTCATCTTCTAAGTCTTCTCCAGAGTCAGAATCACTATCAGAGTCAGAATCAACGTCAGAGTTTACTTCAACTTCAGAAATTCTTAACTCTGACCTTTCTTCAGAAGTTCTAACATCAGAATCAGATTGAGACTTATCCCAATTCCAAACTTCTGATTCCTTCATAATCACATCTCTGCTGAATTCAATTTTATTGGTTTCTGGACAATAGAGCTTGTATGCACCTGTACTGTGGTACCCTATCAGAATCATCACTTTGCTTCTATCATCCAGCTTCTGTCTTCTGGCTTCTGGAACATGTTTATAGCAAACAGAACCAAACACCTTCAGATGATTAACACTTTGCTTGTCTCCAGTCCACTTCTGCATAGGAACTTTTTCCTTCAACTTCTTCGTAGGACATCTGTTAAGTACATATGTTGCAGTGGCAACAGCTTCTCCCCAGAGCTTCTGAGGAAGCTTCTTCTCCTTTAGCATGTTTCTCACCATATCAAGCAAAGTGCGGTTTCTTCTTTCAGCAAGACCATTGTGTTGAGGGGTATAAGGAGCAGTAACCTCATGCTCAATTCCATTCTCCTCACAGAACTTCTGGAACTCTTTGGAGTTATACTCACCTCCACCGTCAGTTCTAAGAATCTTC